TAGCTCATGTTGTATAACGGGAATATTCTATTGAATATTCGACAAGTTGAATTCCCTCATTCGAGAGTGTTCATAATCGGTTTGCTGTCTGATTCACTGAACCGGAATTTAACTACGACGGTGATTAGTAATATTAATTACTAATGGATTCGTCGTTTAGCCTATGATATTGTATTCGTCGATGGATTACTTACCGTTCCGTTGCGATGGCATTACCACTCGACGCCAAGCGAAGAGTATTATAACATCTTTGAACTAAGTGACAGAGTATGCTTCTCTCACTCCTTAGAAGGAATGGTCGTTTTTTGGGGAATATTCGTCTAGACCGTGATGAACGTTGGAAGCTATAGCATAGACGGCTATTATGCTGTAGTTTATAGCGCTAGTCACATGGAGCCCATCACTGAAGCGATGCTGAGAACAAACGTACATAGTTTAACGCACATTAGCATCACATGTCACATTGGATTCGCGCATCACTACGAAAATTTCACGTTCACATGATTGCAGTGGGTGAAATTATAGAAGCAAAATTTAATTTATGCTAAATTTTATTAAACTTAAATTATATATATAGAAATAATCATGTGAACGTGAAAATTTCATGATGATGCTGGGGAAAATGATTCGTCCAAAACAACAGATTTGTATGACACTAAGATTGCAAGTCCAGCCATCACATATTCGTTAGACGTTGGAAAATGACGAGCGGGGACATTACTACACCTGGTCAGTATGATATTAACTTGTCTGGCTCTTAACTATACGATCAAAACGGTACTATGCTCACCTAATTTCACCTTGGTTTCATGCATGTTCATACTACCCTAACGTTCGGCTTTCTTTTTTTTTTTGCTCTCGATACTATTTGTTCTCTATTTACTCCTTCAACCTAAAAAAGAGATGCAAGTATCTCAAAAGGAATTAGCCAATAATCACATTCCCGTTGCGTGGCGAGATTACTGTGCACATCTGCTGATACCGTTGAATAAATGTCGAGTTAAAAATAATTACTTGCCATGGAAATGCGTAGACGAGAGACATGCTTTTGAAAAGTGTCAATATGAAGAGTGAGTCATCGTTTATTCTAATTTTCGGTTGGGAAACAGTACTTGTTTTACTGATTTAACTCGTAACGTTATTCCGTATGCTTACAATACTAGTTATATTCGCCGAATGAAGCTGCTTCAGAAGCAAAAGTCAGAAAATGAGCAGCATTAAAGTAACGTTTATGAATAGACAATGGCTTGTACTAACAACAAATTGACTAAAGAGTAATAACCAACATAGAAACGGCAGGGAAGAGCAAGTGATTAAAGTGATCGCGAGATGAATGGGTGTCAACACATATTGAATGCGTATGTGAAGAAAGTCTTAGCATTGGGAAAGGAATTATTGTTCTTAATCCAATGTATCAGTTTATTTCTTATGTTGAATGGTTGATGACGAAGCAAGCTTATCCATTATTTCTTCTGTTCGGTGAAGAGCACATGTCTTTGCACTACGTATAATAGGTTTAATGTATATAATGGAATGCATAAGTAAACACTAATATGATAGACGTCCAGTGTAATTCATGTGGCGGATTAAAACGACATCGGATTTGGGGGTCTTCTTGAGTCCACCCTTAAAGCTCAGAAACCCACATATACTCTTCTAATACCCTAAATTCTGCCCAAATTCAAAAAAAGTGCCCCCCCCGTTTTTTCGGTTTAATCCGGTGTCGTTTTAATCTGTCACAATCCATATCATCAATTATACGTAATTACTCCTATAAATGCCAACCTTTTGGATCGTATTTAACAAATGATAATTTCGCGGCTGTTCGCGGCCGTCGTTTGGTATAGAAGAAGCCAGTTTTTGCTGTTGATACCAGTCTGACGAATATAACTCTGGTTGAGACATGAGAAATATTGCATTGAACTCTTTAGTTCGGGTCGTGCGTCTATCACATATCATCTAGTCCTCATCTTTACCTTGCTCTCGCCTTTTTTGCCATTGGCAAACGTTGTTATGATTACCGTTTTTTGCAGCAAATTCTATATAATAGATCACGTGTGATTCAACACGTGAAAGTGGATCAACCTGATAAAAGTTAGGATAATAATAATACCTTTAATGCTATAATAATAACAGTTTCAAATATTTCTACCACAAACAATCAAGACGGAAAATTCTATTAAACATATCATCTTGAAAATCAATATTTGATGGCCGAGAGGCTGGGTTTTTTGGACGGGCTGACAAATAATGATAGACATGTTTTGTAATCAGCAGTAGAATGGTTTTGAACGATTGTCTGTTCATGCCTACGAGCATTTCAACCATCATTTTAAAAAATAGAATGGTTGCTAACATATACAGTTGGTGCCTACATTATGCTAATATCAATATCAAGATGTCATCTAAGACGTCTTACTTACAAGACTAAGTTATTTCTAATTGATATTTATTAATTTTACAGAGTACGGGAACTTAAAATAGATGGTAGAGGTGCATATTTGCAACAAGAGAATCATTTGCTTGAAATACTCGAGGCTGTTGCAAAATTATATTTTTGACTGTTGGTTACCGTTACACAGATTTAAGAATTTCTGACACGACGCGTGTTATACGTTAGTAACCGTTTCGACCTATACACCATCACACTAAGATGATAACGACAACTCCCACAAGAATACCTGCGCCGGTGAGTGCCTCGATTTCGAAGAGGAGAATGCTAGTAAGGACTCCCAAAAGAGGTTTGGGAACAGGCAATATGACACCACGGACACCCAGAACACCAAGATTGGCTGAAGAGGAGATTAGACCGAGACTGGTAATCGAAAAGTTGACGTTAACGAATTTCAAAAGTTTTTACGGTACCATAACTATTGGACCTTTGCATAAAGTAAGAATAATGGGTATGGTCTATCAACCATAGGAGTTTACTACACAAACCACATTTAACTGGAGAAATAATTAATTACCTTATTATTGTATAATTAGTCATTGTCAGCTGTAGTAGGACCAAATGGATCGGGAAAGTCTAATGTGGTTGACTCGCTGCTATTCGTATTTGGATATCGCGCTTCCAAAATGCGACAAGCAAAAGTGTCCGATCTCATCCACTCTTCGCACGGACACGAAGAACTGGACAGTTGTTCAGTAGAAGTGCACTTTCGGGAGATACTCGAGCAGGCAAGTACAATAACGGAAAAAGACCTCGCCCCAAGAATTCAATTTCAATCTGGGTTATTTGTCCTATATAGTTTTTTTAATTGACATTTCCCCAATCTCGCAGCCAAGCTCAGATGACTTTGAATCAATTCCAAATTCGGAACTAATTATCTCGCGACATGCATTTAAAAACAACACAAGTAAATATTACATCAACGGTCGTTTAAGCAATCACACTGAACTAACTGCTCTGCTGAGAGAACGAGGAATTGACTTGGATCATAAGAGATTTCTTATACTGCAGGTATGCATGTCAGTAAATAGTATACAAGTTCTACAATATTTTCTCGAATACTGGTTTGCTAACACTGATAACTAACGTACCGGGATACTCATAGGGTGAAGTCGAGTCTATATCACTTATGAAGCCAAAGGCAGCCAATGAACATGAAGATGGATTATTAGAGTATCTAGAGGATATTATTGGAACTTCAAAGTATAAAATGCCTATAGAAGAAGCTCTTCAGGATATCGAAAGCTTGACAGTAGAACGCGCCGAGAAGCTGAATCGATTAAAGCTAGTAGAAAAGGAAAAAGACGCGTTAGAGGTAGCTGAACGTTCTTATTAATCGAGCATTAAAATCAATCGTAAATACTGAAACTTAGGCATATTAAATTACGTAACCGTCTTTCTTCCCTATTAGGAACAAAGAAAAGAAGCCGAGAATTACCTTCGCGAGGAAAACTCGTTAATAATGAAGCAATCTGTCTTTTACCAACGAGAAGTTTTGGAATGCAAGAATCGCGTCGAGATTGCCACAGTTGCTGTCGTAAGCGTTTTCTCCAAATATTGTCGCCCGAGCAGAGCATTTGTACAGATGTGCCTCACGTAATGATATTCTCTTTAGAATGAACTGAAAAGTCAACTAGCCGCAGAACAAGAAAAATATGTCAACATTAAGGATGATACTAAAGAAATAGAAGAAAAGTATAACCGCACCGCCAGAGAGTACGAGGTATGAGTTGTACGCAGCTTAAACGGGGTGATAATAATTAAATGAAAGTACTAAGGTACAAAATTGTCAGAAACTGGAAAATAAAGTAAACGAAGTGTCGACCGAACTGGCAAGATGCGAGACCGAAGACATTCAATTGCAAGAGAGAAAGCGTGATACTAATTCTCGAATAAAGAAGATTACTAAAACTCTGCAGAACGTAAGAAAATGTATTGCCATACAATTGTTATGAAACTGCTAATTAATTTGCCAATGACACTACAGGATCGTAAAACTTTGGAGACAAAGCAAAACTCGATACATGATTACGAAAAAGAGCTCATACAACAGAAGAAAGATATCTCTCGACTTGAAAAGTCGCTTAAAGCTGAAGAAACTGAACTTGAAAAAATAACGGAAAGCTTGAAAGGTATCACGTTAGATGCGCTTTATCATGTGAAATTGAATTAACACCAAACTAATCTGGCAACCTGTTTTTCGTGTCAAAGGCAAAACGGAAGTCTATTCTTCGCAGATAGAACAGCAACAAAAAAATCTTGCTCCGTGGATTGAACAAATCAATAACATACAATCTCAGATAGACGTCGCTCAATCCGAATATGATATTATCAAGAACAAGCATGTATCTATGAAATCTGCTCTTGAACAAGCCGAGCAAAATGTGGTTGAACTCGAAGAATCCCGAAAGGCTAAGGTACTAATGAGGGTGTTACATTTATAAGTTTATGTTTGAACGCGAATAATTTGTATCCCCAAATAGGAAAAAGAAATAAGAGCGCTAAGGACCGAGCGCGAGCAGATTAAAAAAACCATTCAAGTATTGGACTCCAAAATACGGGTATTATTTACTTTACTTTATATGGCATACTTTACCACCTCGTTATCATTGACCGACCCAAACTCACTACTTGATTTCTGCAGGAAAATGCGATACAATACACTAAAACAAAATCAGCCCTTGCTGAAGCTAGACAAAAAGCTAATGAAGCCAAATCTACATTCCAATCATCCCAATCGCGCGGCACTGTCTTGACAAGTTTACTGAATCTACGCAACAGCGGTCGTATACGAGGCCTCCATGTATGTTACAATTTGTTTATTGTATCGAAACCTCTGTTGTTCTTGTCCTGACCATGTACATGTATACTTAAGGATCGACTGGGTAATCTTGGCGTAATTGACGATAAATACGATGTAGCAATAAGCACGGCGTGCTCATCGCTTGAATATATAGTAGTTGACACTGTCGAATGTGGCCAATCTTGCATCGAATATCTTAGACGCCAGAATCTCGGTCGCGCTCGTTTCTACATCCTCGAGAAAATTCCATCACAAGAGATGTCCCGTATTCAAACACCAGAGAATGTGCCACGTCTATTCGACTTGGTGAAGCCCAAAGATCCTCGGTTTGCTGGCGTTTTCTACAAGGCACTTGGAAACACTCTTGTTGCTAGAGATCTCACTCAAGCGAATAGAATAGCATTCGGCAAAACTCGTTATCGCGTTGTTACCCTAGACGGTAGATTGATAGAAGCTTCTGGTGCTATGTCAGGAGGAGGATCGAAAGTGTCTAGAGGCGGAATGAGTTCAAAGTTTGTTAGTGATGTTACTCAAAATGTTGTTGACAAATTGACGAAAGAGCAAAATAAATGGGAGGAAAAGTGGCGCGAAGTGCAGGAAGAAAAGACAGAGTTGGAGAAAATGATCGAGGGAAAAAATGAAGAGCTGCCGAAATTGGAAATGAAGCTTTCGAAAATAGATATGGATTTGGATGCATGCGGACAGGCTATTGTGGATGCGCAGAAGAATGTCGCCGAATTAAGGTGAGAATGGAAAAGATTAAGATTATTCTTTAAGAATTCTGGCATGTGGGCTAAGGAAATTTTACGTGGCTCTGTACAGGAAACAGAAAAAGCCAAATGTCGAAGATGGGCGTCGGATGGCGCAATTGCAGTCAACTATCGAACAGTATACAACCAAAGCCAATCAATTAAGGAAGCAGTCGGCAAAGATTGAAGATGTGATTAAGACCTTACAAGGAAAAATTCTTGAAATCGGTGGTGACAAACTGAGAAATCAAAAGACTAAAATTGATAATATTAAGGAGCGTATTGATACAGCGAATAATAACATCACAACGGCACAAGTGGCAAAGACCAAGGCCGAAAAAGACATCATTAAACTTGAAGCTTCGATTTCTAAAGCAGAGAAAGAGGCAGAGGCTTTAACTAAAGAGTTCGAAGAGCTGGACCGAGTTATCGAGAAAAATGCGCAAGACACTTCTAAAATCGAAACTCAAGTTCAGGAGGCCAAAAAGGTACTTACAAGGATGCCCTTGCGTGGTTGTTGATATCAGGTTTGACGCAATTATTATGTAATACTTTAATACAGGTAATGAAAGCAAAAGAAGAAGAGCTAGCAACAATGAAACGCGAGCTTGACGAAAAAACAGCTGTAATCAACGAAATTCGTGCATCAGAGGTACGTTCTTGTGAGCGTTCACGGGGGCGTCCGTCGATCTAATGTTCATTGCAAATATTATGATCCATTTTAGATTGTGATTAAGAACAAGTTGGAAGATTTTGAATCGGGCTTGGTTAACCTTAATCGTCAATTGAGACATTGGCAATCAAAACTGAAAGAATTGTCGCTGCATAAACTTCCGTGAGTAATTCACACACCAAAGTATTCAGACATTTTGCACGGAATTAATTAATTTTTCGTTTGAGTTATGCAGAGGTGAAGAGCATATTGAACTGCAAATTTTTACAGATGATGAACTCATGGACTTTGATAAGGAAGAATTGCGAAAAGACATTGACGCACTCGAAGGTAGATCTATCTTTTGTGCTTGCGGTTTTTTATCTCCATTGTGCTTATCCATTATATTGTTTATTTAAATAGAGAAAATACAAAGTGCCAACCCCAATTTGTCTGTTCTGGAAGAATATCGTCAGCGTGAAGAAGAATACGCCATGCGAGCTAAAGATTTGGAAGAAGCAAGCGCGAGAAGTGATGCCGCCAAGAAGAAATATGAAGAACTACGAGATTTGCGATTTGATGAATTCATGAAAGGATTTACTTGCATTTCGCAAAAATTGAAGGAAATGTATCAGGTTGGTAATATGATACGGCATTTGGCGGCAATATAATAATAAGAACTCGTTGGATGACAACTGCTTAACTTGTAGATGATTACACTTGGTGGCAATGCCGAGTTGGAATTGGTAGACAGTCTAGATCCATTTTCTGAAGGCATTGTATTCAGCGTTATGCCACCAAAGAAAAGTTGGAAAAATATATCAAATCTATCTGGCGGTGAGAAGGTAACACATTTCCGAAGTTTGCAGCAATTGTTCGTCATTTATATGCAAATTTGACATGTTTTTTGTACCTTTAAATTTATAGACTTTAAGCTCCTTAGCATTGGTTTTTGCACTTCACCATTTCAAACCCACGCCTATATATGTAATGGATGAGATTGATGCAGCATTAGACTTTAGAAATGTCTCTATTGTGGCCAACTACATTAAAGAGCGCACAAGGAATGCGCAATTTATTATTATTAGTCTACGAAATAACATGTTTGAGCTGGCTGATCGATTAGTGGGGATCTACAAGACTGAGGATAAGGTAAGCGTTCGCGTGAATGTCTTTGAGTAATAATCTCCCCATTCTGACCATTTCCTTTTTGGCGTAATCAGACCAAGTCCATAACGGTATCCCCGGCTGTGTTGGCGACATAAATTTGGTTGGTTTTTTCTATAATATAGAAAATGGTACCGTCATATCGATACAGGTGAAGGATAAAGCTAAGAAGTAACGTTGTACCATACGGGATTGTTTTAAATAAAAACGAAGACATAAATTTGGTTTGTTCAGTGAATGTAATTTACATCTAACTCAACCTTTAATGATCGGTTTTTGTATATAAAAATCGCGTTTTGAGGAATATTACTTCACTTTTTTATATTAAAATTAAAAAAGTTTTTCTATAGCTTATGGGGCAAGCGTTGTAGCAGCACAGATTTTATAAGCGTAGCTTTTACTATTGAAAGTCACATGATAGTAAAGTGTGCATTAGACTTTTTATTGTCCCAAAATTTGTTTCATGAATATGATATAAATACCTGAAGTTCGAATTACGATCGTGTGTTGGAGGATATAAGTATAACTTCTTTTTTGTTCCTTGGATTGGAGATTAGGAAGATTCAAAGATTCAAATTTTTTTGCGTAGCAATTCCCGCATGGTCTATCCCAGAAATTCTATAAGATAGAAAGTGGTACCGTCATATCGTTACAGGTGAAGGAAGTAACGTACCATACGGGATTGTTTTAAATGAAAACGAAAACAAACACCAGACATAATAGTTCCTGTTTTCAAACTACACGCGATTTGGTCGAAATTTCATTCTGTAAACAGTATAACCAAACACAGAGTATTACGTGCATGGTTCAGAGCTTCTTAGAAAAAAACTGTTATTATTACGTTACTAGTTTATGAGAAATTTAATTTCAAAAACTTATATCAAAAATATGGAAAATCTTTAGACTATTTGTTGAAAAGAAACCGAGTTAATCAATTTAGTACAATACACGAAACACATGAGTAGTTGTTATGTAAGTGCCACTAATTTCTTGACGCATTGTAGTAAGCAGGCCATTATATGTTTACAGTTGACGCTTTCATTAACAAATTCAATTGTAGAGAATCTTATGATTTTTACAAACATTTGAGATATCAGTAATATTAATATTATAGTTTATTACCGACTTTGACAACATTAAATGGCAACTAGTTGAAATTATGCTAGGAAATAATTCACACATGACAATTAGCTCGTGAAATTAATTTATTACAGAAGTTAATGTACAAATCATTGTCTTTCCAATATCATTTTCACGACGACGAAGACGAGGATGACCTAAAAATCCAATCGTTAATACCCTTTCAATTAAGTGTGTAGAATAAGCGATAATCGTGATATATTAGAATCGCACAAATCCCTTGGAAAGTAGGAAAAAGTCCTGGATTCGTATGCGAGTATAATATACCACAATTGTCGCACATCTAATAATCCCAAGAACATAGTTTGCACAAAAACGAGATTACTTACTTTGCCCATTCAACTCGCAAGATCAAGTTGTCATAACCATAACCATTAAGCGAAGCGAGAGCCTTTCCAGCGTCATCTCTATTTTGAAAACTAACAAATGCAAACCCTTTACACATGTTTGTTTGGTGATCCCGTGCAAGATATACTCGAGAGATTGAGCCAAAGTGACGGAATAATTCGTGAATATCGCTTTCGGTTGTATCTTCGGAAAGGTTGGTAACGCGGATTGTAGCATCATCTTTATGCAAACCAGAATAAAACGACAAAGAATTAGCGGATGAAATGATGCGTTTGGGACATTGCTGGATTAAAATAAAAGTAAACACACCTCTTCGCTCCTTGTATGGTGAATCGCCAGTAGGCTTACGGTCACCTCGTAAGCTTGGTGGAACGTATTTGCCAGATCCTTGTGCTTCTACTTGAACAGGTTCCGCAGTTGCTGTGGGTATTATTATTGCATTAGCAGTACATTAAAAAGAAAGGGTCGATCAGATAAACAACCAAACGTTTAACGTTCTTATCCATACATGGCTCCTTAGACTCTTGTATATGTAGTTCATCCAGTGGCGGAAGAGTGTCTTTGTACGGACACTTTGTTGTAAAGTGATCTCCTTTGCAGATACGACATAAGATTTTCTTTCCAAGGAGTTTTTTCTTTGTTATTTCAATATCTTCTACAGTTTCCACGCTCTATAGATGAAGCATGGTATGATATAGTACCGTGATTACAAACATCAAGTCGTTGTAAACTATCAAAATAGCTCATACCTTGCCGGTAGACGAGAGTTTCAGAAAGATCTGTTCCCCAACACTTGTCGTACTGAGATCGGGTCCAGGTTTTTTACCCTGTTCCTCTCCAAATTTTGCCCATTTCTATCGGGTTACGATACGGAATTGTATATGCATAGAGAATAAGTAACAGCACAACTGCTAACCATAACCGCATAACGCACTTTGAAATCTCACGCACCTTTCTCTCGGCTGCCGCCTTATTTACTCGTTCTGTAATAAGGGTTTTTTTAATTTTTCGTGTGACCTGTTGTCAATCAAAACAGTGTTAAAGATAAGAATTTTCACAGCAGTTCACCTTGATCATAACTTACCTTTACTTTCTTTCCGTCATCATTTACTATGTATTCGATGACAGTCTTAACTCCATTTTCGTCGGTAACTGCCTCATAAGGGGGATCTGCTCAAAATTGAAGAGATCAGAATAACTTCTTTCAAATTCTGAACATATGCTAGAATTCTTGAATAAAGTACCAAGTTCCTCCCCAACTTCGTCGGCCCAGCTTGATTTTGGAGCTCCCCTGTGAATTATATTCGATAAAGCTTAGTAAAAAGAGGCATATTCTCAAACGAGTGCGGGTTCATTTACTAACGTTATTTCCACAGGCATTATTATTTAAACAACCCGACAGTTTCCAAAGAATGAAAATTTTTAAATATCTATCACGTGCACGTATGCTATATCTTCCCGTGACTTCAAATACATTAACCGATCTGAATTCAATTTGATCAACCCGCATTGAATTATGACTTCCAGTAAACAAATAAATACGCAAGACCTTCTCAACAAGCGTATACAAGTCGAGGATCAACTTGCGACAGTTCGATACGTTGGCCCTGTCCCACCAACAAAGGGTGAATGGCTGGGAGTAGAATGGGATAATGTTTCACGTGGGAAGCATGACGGTGTGCACGAAGGCGTCAGATATTTTACGTGTTCGTAAGTTTTGTGTGCTGACTACCCAAATATCAAATATCAAAAGCCAATCGTTTGACGAAATCCGCGTCGTTTCTCTTTTCTCCAATTCTCCCCCACTTTATTTAAATTTGCATTCCGTAGTACACCTAACAGTGGCTCTTTCATTCGTTTCTCACCAAAGACAACAACTGGCCGAAGTTTTCTATCGGCATTGATGAACAAGTATATTGATGATGAGATGAAAGGAAATGATTACAATGCACAAAGTGATTTGCAGACCTTGCATTGGGCGGGAAATAGAAAGATCGAAGTCGAAGCTTTAGGTTGGGATAAGGTCAGAAGGAAGCAAAGGTGAGCAAAGAATGACTTATTCAAACTCGCGAGAAAGACATGCTCTGTTAATGAAATTGGAGTAACTTTTTTTTTGCTTCGTAGTCATTTAGACAGATTGACAGAAGTCGGGTTATCATTCGAGCAGATCTCGAGCGCTGGTATGCAGGGCGAGATTGAAGCTTGCAATCTGAGTAAGTTATTGTTCTTAACTTTGATAATTCATCTATTATAACATTGTCTAATCAACACAGTTTGTGTATTTCGGTAGATATCATTGATTTAAACCTTTCCAAGAATTTGTTGTCCGATTGGGAGACTGTTGCTCGTATTTGTGAGCAATTGAAGAAGTTGCAAATTTTACGGTTGAAGTATGGTGCTTTTTAACTCTGACCCATCCAAGATCGATTCATCGACTCAACCCTTACCCGCTAAGACTATTCCCTGCAGTTATAATCGTTTTCAGCCATTACAGTCACCACCACCACAATTCATCGAGGCGTTCAAGAACTTGAAGAGCTTGTCACTCAACTACACACGTATTTCATGGTCTCAGGTATGCACGAGACTCCTTTGCTTGGGGGCTGTTAAAATATCACACGGCTTATGATTACATCTTAGGTTGAACTGCTTGAACCAAGTCTGCCAAATCTCGATAATCTCCAATTGGGATTTAATAACATGCGTCATTTCGGTACATCTGATACAAAAAGGAGTCAGCCAAATGATAGATTAGTTCACGGGTTTCGTAAGTTGAAGATTCTGAATTTAGAGAGCAACGGTATCGACAGCTGGGAAGAGGTTGCGCGCTTTTCTAAATTGGAAAGGTAAAAAAAAGTATCATGGTTTTCCCGAGTATTGTGCGAATATAATTACTAAAAATGACATTCTCCTATATAGCCTTGAAGTGCTGTTCTTGACAACAAACAAATTAGATAAAATAGTATATCCTTCAAACGACGCTTTTCCTAAACTGCGATTTTTGATTGTGAGCGAGAATAAGATTGCTGACTGGACCAGCGTTGATGAATTAAACAAATTTCCCGCGTTGAAAGAATTAAGGATTAAGAATAATCCTTTCTTAGATGGTATGAATATATTTCCAAATTAGTTCTTCATAAACGCATCTGCCACTTGGACTTATTAAAACGATTTATTCTCAGGTGTTAAACCAACTGAATCCAATGCATCATTAATCGGGCGAGTGAAGGGATTGACCATGTTGAACGGCAGCACAGTAAGGATGTTTGTGCAGGATGCTTCTCGTCTAATTTAAATGACATTCTGAATATGTCTGTGAAATAGATAACACTCGGCGATAGAGCAGACGCCGAGCGATACTATCTTCGTCTTTGTGTACGTGAATTCAAAACGCCAGAGGAAATAGAAAAGGTGCATCCACGATATAAGGAACTATGTGACATACACGGTACACCGACAGCTGATGAACTGCTCGCTCAGTCAATGAGCGGCATGTTAAAGGATCGGTTGATAAGTACGTTATATCAGAATATAATACCATAGTAGCCTGCATTTTTATAGCGTCGTCGCCTAGCATGCAACCATGGTTGACTAATTATGTTTGGCAATTATGTAGCCGTTGTCATCACTCATCGAAAGTCACTGACGGATTCCGAACACGTTAAAAAAGTTACCAAAAGATTGCTCGGTAAGAGACTGAATGACAAGACAATTCATATACCATGCGATGAATTAACACGTCGTGATGACCCTCGTTTCCAGGCACCATGACTATAAGAAGCTTAAAGAATCTTCTGCAAAAGCTTTTTGGAGTTTCTACATTTGATCAGAGTCTTTTTCGTATTCCAAAGGTATTTTCGCAGATGTCAACATTACGGATTTGCTATACATGCTCTGTATATGCTTATCTTCTGGCTTGTGTAGATGGAAGAAGGAATGGATGAACAGGAACCTGTCGAAATGAATGATGACCTCCGAGAGCTTTCATATTATGATTTGGTTGCTGGTGAAGAAATTATACTTATAAAGGCCGAATAAGGAAACGAGAATGCAAATTAATTTATTTATTATTCATAGAATTGTAAAATTTTAGTAAATATAATTGCGATGTCTTAGAGTTTTATTAAATAAACGACTGAGGAAATGAGTGCCGTGCGGTTTTACAAAATGATGCTTCTTTATTAGTGTAATTGTCTTAATTTTAACAACAAGCAGCTTCATCCAGCCCAGGAATGTTGATATGACGACATTATTCTTTTCTTTTGCTTTCTTCAGAAATTTACACGTAATTATCTCCATCCACACGTCTGGCGGTGGACATAGATTGAGAGTAAATTTTCAAGTCAGGAAATTAGAGGGCCAATCAATTACCTCTGGGATATCACCAGGTAATTCGTAATTGATAACCTTAAAAATCGTTCGTCTTTACGCCGGAATATACTGCGAATCAATCGTCAGATAATAACCCAAAGTGCATTTCGTCCAAGCCTACCGTTCCTCACACCACTCGTTTTCTTTTTTCACTTGTGCTTCCTCTTCCGGTGTAAAATCATTTTCAATGTTGAATGTTTTACGAATTTCCTCAGGTGTTTTGCCTCTAATCATGTTTGCAACCGTTTTACATGTTAAATCGAGTAGCGGCTTGATATCGAGATAGTTTGCAGCCTTTGCGAGGTAAAATATTATTTGCAGAATGATAAGTTATTTTAGTATAATTGGTCGTCTCAGAAATTATCGGCAAGTAACCCTCGCATTCTTTTATATATTATTGATATATTGATAACGTCTTCGCCTCTCGCACATGTCTTCTCTCATTACCAAAATCAATTCAAATAATGTTCCCTGATCAACTTTACAAAATTCTTTATCCCAGTCATCAATATCAGCTGAAGATTTCCTGCCATCATCCTCCTGAGTTACTACCGGATCATCTCGATGATGTGTGCAATACTCAATGACCTTGGTTAGAATTGGGCCGGTGACATTCGCGAGAGGAATAGCTGGGATAAAGAAGAATAGAAGAGTGAGATTTGCAATCTAAGGAGGAATGGGAATAAGTGTATTATTCTTGCCTCACGCTAGCACACTTAAAACTGCATAATTCTGGAACTCTATTGAAACATCCTCTCTCTGCATGCGAACTTCTCTCACTCAAACCGTACCCAAGTCGCTCTCACCAACATCCTCTAACATGTTCTTCAACAATACAGATTTCTCGACAACTGCTCTTTCTACTAAGAATTCCGTCCCTTCCGAGGAGGTTAGTCTAATCATTTTCTGGTCTGCGCCTGCCATCGTTTTGAAATGAGTCGAGAGCTGTGAATATGGCAGTAAAGACCGAGTGCTTGTATAAATATTTAATGATGTCATGACGCATTAATATTACGTAATCTCAGAGGGGTCATCAGCGACAGCATTCAAAATTAACATATCAGGTTATTTACCCAACCCGGTGATACGGTGATTGTATGTTATTGTATGTCTTGCAGGTGGATTATAAACATCGATTAAGCAATAAGTCTTATGAAATCGAATTATAAACTTCGCAGAACCTGATGTGCGTCAATATAGGCGAGCTTTGGACTTGAAATATTGTAGAACATAACTGATAAGCACACGCCATTATATGTCCGCAAAAATGGAAACAAGATAAAGACAAAAACAAAGGCAAACCAAACGCTTAATTCATCCTATCAAAGACTGACTCAATTCATTGACAAAAATAGTATGAATGAAACAATAATCTAAAGAATTTTGCTGAATAATTTAGTTGCTATCGCTGAATGTAATAGTGACAAATGTCAATAACCAATACATTTCCATGAATTTTGTTATTATTATTATTACTATACACCGAGCCTATTACCATGCCGAAACTTCTCATTGTTAAGGAGGCTCGAAAGCATGTGAATTATTTGTTGTTGTAAATTTTATTATTATTCTTGGTTTCACCTAATAAGAACACCAAATATGCAAGGTTCGGATTGTGGCGGAGAACGGAATCTTAGAAGCGACTTGCTAATGATAGATTAATTACATAGTACTACCTTCAGTGTACATATAGAAGCATTATAGACATTATGTTACTGAACCAATTACATTGAGAATTGACGACCTTAGCCAACACTATAACGTAAAACCATTTAACCGAATATTTCCATAAGAAACGGAAGTATCATACCAATTGGACATGCAGAACGTGTTATAAACCGAGCACAGGAATAGTCTCGTAATTTTAACCGTTGTGCCAATGGCCAAACTTGTTGCGAAAATAAAAAACTCGCATAATTTTCTTGGAGATTGTATTCTTTGCCACATTTGTTGAACGCAATCCATTTCGATGACTTGAATTGTAATCTTAGCTAATACAAGGATCAAACCCCTTTAATAAAACGTTCTGGATTATGATAATATGTGTTTGATTTTACCTTTCTGTTGGAAACCAAAGCCACATGCAAAATTATTAATCTAGTCGCAGAGCACCGACAATGAAAACGCAAGTCTTAGTGTTCTTAGATTCGCTCACGCATATCAACTTTTAAATAAAAATTCGATTGCATCTGGCAGCACATGTACTGTTGTCAAACTTACATAACTAAATCACACTTCGTTTGTCGAATGTCTACATTATCTAACATCACAACATAATCAATTTGTAAATGATATTATCATGCTCGGCCATGGTTTAACGCACATTTCACAGATTGCTGCGTGCTCAGCTGAATGGTACAATATTAATGGACAATCAGCAATTAAATTTTATATATTAATAATACTTGTTTTATAAGCATAAAAAGACGAATTACTTTATCTCTTAAGCTAAATATATATAATACAAATTAATTGTAATTCGTATTATATTCTTCATGCACTTGAAAGCTCTAACAATAAGTTTTAACTTTAGTAAAATTTCTGGTTCTACATAGACATATGACATAATAAAATCTCACTAATACTAAATGACCATAATTATCTGACAAAAGCTGCTGATATGATATTCAATTTCAATAATAATAACTGCCTTTATATTTACTCTTCTTTCCATGCTGTTTATTAAAAAATTTCCTGACGTATGGACAGCTTTTAGATGGTATTAATGCATTCTGCAGTATTTCTTTTATTATTGACTGTCAACACCGCCATCTAATTTACTATTATTATGAGAAGCCTAATATAGTGTGGAACACCTCAAATCATAATCTCATTCTCCACTGCAGTCACTTTTATAATTTCGTCAGACAATCTACAAACGCATGCTCTCATCAGTCCTTCTTCAACTTTCAGCTGTCCAATGTCTCTTAGGTTCAATAAATATTTAACATTTTTATTATTGAGAAGTAGTAACATGGCTGTGATATAGATAGGGGTGGATATAATTGGCCTCTCTGTACTGCGTCCTTGTAGCAACGAAAATAAGACTGGAGTTTATTATTAAGAAAACTCTTGACAAAGACATGATGTTACTATTACTATAGTAATAGAGGCAATGACACTGTCGATATTATTATTTGTCTCAATGCAGAGCAAGTTTTTTCGTCGGCTCGTAACGAAGTCATTTATGACTGAAATTATTCTCTGGCTGCAAATGTCTAGTAACCAATGAAGCAACTATATACATTAGTATTTGGTTGGCCACCAATCGCTCGCAATAACAGCTTCTATTCTCCGTGGTATACTTTCTATCAAAGCCATTACTTGACGTTGTGAAATCTTGCCCCATTCGATTGTAATGCTGTCTCTAATTCTGTAACATTTGTTATCGCATGTGGTTTGCTTCTTATTCTTCTTTCCAGCTGCGACCAATAGGATTCAAGTCAGGAGACTGGCTTGGCCAATCTAGTGAGACTTTGATAAAATCCATTTTTTAACATCTTCACAGTATGGACCGGAGCATTATCATCTTAAAACCAATAACCTCTGCAACTAAATTCTTTCTTTACCAAAGGTAATAAATGCTTTTCAAGTAGTTGTATGTAGTCAAACCTATTCATTTTACCCATCTACTTTTACTAATACTAATGGCCCCAATCCTTTACCGGAAAAGCACCCCCACATTATTAATCCACCACCTCCACATTTTACTGTTGGGACCAAATTCTCAATGTTAAATCTGGTACCAGTTCTCCAAATACGGCCTGGACCATCATTTTTAAATATTGTGAATCTGCTTCATCATTCCATATTAATATGACAGATCACCATTTTCGAACAGTCCAATCTCGCCTTTCAGTACACATTTCAGGCGTTGTTCTCTTTGCCGATTATTTAGTAGAAGTTTGCGAGCTGGTATACGAGAAAAAATCTACATTTTGTGCAAATTTCTCGTAATAGTTTTTGTGGAAACTTCAATATTAGTTTTTTCAACAAATTTTTTTTAATATCTTCAGCTGATTTCTCATTATTATTAGCCTTTAGAATTTTTAGACTTCTGTTAGTCAATAATTTCGGACGGCCAGATCGGGGACGAGTCGCAAGGTCAACTCCGTTAAGGTACTTATTATAATTAATAGTAATAGTACGAGTAATAAATTTTGAGCATTCTACTAATTTTTGGTACTGATTGCTTATTTTTGTAAAAATCAATAATTTTACCGCGTTGACTTTTAGTTAAAGAATACATTTTAACATCAATAAAGGTTAGAAATGCTTGCGGATTTTATTTATATATTCTGGTGTGTGTTTACAAACAACACAAAATTTTATACGCGTTTGTTCAAAACCAAACCAAAGTTATATTGAAATTTAAGATGAAATTATTATGTGTAATTTTGCGTAATTAAAATTTTTTGATGTGCAAGAGGTAGTGTATTTATAATCGTTATTAACCTATGGCCACTGAGTATGTACTAGGCGATAGATCTATCTCGCCAGTCCATAGCGTAAAATTTTATTTCTAATCCTACAAATAAACCCATTATAATTAGTATTATTAATTTTCTGATTTACAATACGCGGCTGATCTTTGTGGACTTTATAATAAAGGGAATATCCAAGAATAATTTCGATCAATAATCCAAGAATAAATTCGAGCTTGTGAGAGCAATGTAATTTATACAATACGTGATATTTGATATCGGGATCTTAATGCGAGGTGACATAATTATATTAGAAAATGTTTGAGCATCATATCGACAATATTATGTAATTACTTTATTTATTTTATTTTTTTACAGTGCCGCCTGAACTCTTCTTGAAATCATAGATGCATATCACACAAGAGGGTCAAGGCTTTCTTTGTTGACCTCGACCTAATGTTTACTCAGGTGGGCCTGTTTAGCAAAGTATGGGGGAAGAAGATTCTTCAAGTTTGTTTTTTTTTCTTTTTGCATTATATGATAAGATGGCGTCAACTAATAATTCTTTCGTTCATATCACAGGTGTACTAGAATATAGCAGCTTTCGTATATCTCTGAGCAAGACGTTGATGATGACCAATAATTGAGGAAAAATTGAAAAGTGAACACTTACTGGGAATATTAACTATGTACATTGAATATACATTTTTAGTTAATGTATTAAAAGTTTGACATTATTCCTTTACTATTACATTCTTCCATGCAAGTTACCAATCTACAAATCTTCATTCATTAAGTGGCATTTCTAAAACATATTGTGTTACTCATGAAAGAAACCCTCCTTTCCTCCTAATGGTACCATCCGTGTTGGCATATTAATATTTTTGTATGGTGAAGTTTTTCCATAATTTAATTTCTGGTGGGACAACAAAGTACAATTCATAAGTGTCCCGACCTGTTCCAAACTAATACTCATGACCTTCTCTAGCCCATGTGCCTTGACTGGATAATTATTTGACACTGTCATTTGAAAAAGCTAATTTACAATGTAAAAGATAAAAGGATAAGGAGCTTAAACAGGGCTTTAGCAAGCACCTCATTGTGAATAAAAGTTCCTCATGATAGTCATTTGAAAAAGCTTGTTGATGGTATCATGCCCCAATATGAATAAATCAATTGCACAAAAGTTTTTTGACTTCAGTTGGCAGTATTTCGCTTCATGTTCTATGTGATTAATGTCCTCAAGTTGTGTGAATAAAACGCACTCATGTGATGAAAAATGCTTCTCTGTCTCTTTGTTATTTTCAAGATTTCAGATCTGATAGCTCTTAGTCTTCCCCTGAAGAATTTTGTGTGCATAATACATAAGCTTCAAAAAGCACTCCTCTCAGTCCACCACATACTGATTGTGCTTCACTCCCAATCAGAAATGACCTGATCTTCTCAGAACATAACTGCTTGAAATGATTGAATAGCTTGTCTGCCACCCATTTAGATATA